AAAGCAACAAAGATGGGTTTGTTAGTGGAGAGAATAAGAGGGAAAAAGAAGAGAACTTGATTGAATCTGTAGAAAAGAGGAACGGTTATGATTCCTGTGAATATGGTTCTTTTCGAGATAAAGAATGTCTGAATCAAAGTCTCAATGAGGTACAAATTGTGTGATTTTCCTTAAATTGTAATGCTAGCCAAAATTTGGATGCTCCTTTAAATAGTTTAATCTGGGCTTCAAGATCGAGCCTTTGAATCCTAATACATGAAATGTGGAAAATTTTCTATTATATATGTTATATTGAGCACAATCATTCTTTTGGGTCTTTTCTATTACTTATCCACAAATTATTAGAATTTAAATTGGCATTTGAAGCTTGAAATGTCTTAGGTGATATATCTGACAAGTGACAAGTTGTGATTTGTGGTAGATACCAAATTCTTTAGAGTCAGCCTCACTAGTTTCTGGTATGTATCAGTTCCTATTCCATTGCTCTCTTTTTTTTTTTGTATATATATATACATTTTTCAAAGTTTAGCTATTGTTTATTTGCTTGAAAGGATATAGGAAAATAACTAAATAGCTGGAATGATATAGAGGATTTTGAAGACAAACTTTTTAAGTTTTGTTTATTTTTCATATTCTGTCAGAACCTCCTGATATTAGAAACTGGTTTGGAAGCTATGTATATAAGTCTCCTGTGTTGGACACAAGTGATGATTTCAAGAGCTCAGCTAACCACAAAACAGCATGTGAGAGAGATGCATTTGTCATCGGAGACAACTTCAAAGAAAAAGTTGAAAATGTAGGTAAACTTTGAGAAACTAAAAGCTGTCAAGAACAGGATGTCTCTGGAATTAAATGCTCAAGTGGGTTGGTTAAATCCAATAGCTCTTTTTGGGATAGAAAAAATGACGATTGATCCCTATGTAAGGTAAATTAATGTCATTGTTCTTATTTGGGCATTTTATGTTCTTGCTGCACAATACTTATTAACTGAAATATGGTTAATTGTTTTTAAACTTCATAAATTGGTTAACAAGTTTGGTTATCAAGATTGTTATATAACCGTGCTGTTTATACTAAGATTCTTCGTTTCTATTATACTTGTCCAATTGTATTAGTATAGACTGTTGGACTTCATTAAAGATTTAATAGTAAAATATCATCAAAAGTTAACTTTCTTTGTATTGACTCTTACATGCTTTTTGTAGATCTTGGACGCTCATAATTCATCATCTTACCTTCCTGGTTAGTATCACTTCTCCTAGAAATGGCTTTAATATTTCATCAAATATCTTACAAGATGTTTGATTAACTAATAAACTTTGGAAAGTAAAGGAATTTTG